TCCCTACTGGGAATGTGCCCACAACCAAGGTACATGCCCTTGACCAGAATCGAACCTGGGACCCTTGAGTCCGCAGGCTGACGCTCTATCCACTGAGCCAAACCAGTTAGGGCTGGAGCCACTTTTGATCTCCCCCTCTTTGTGGCTCAAAAAATGTACAGGTTTTCCAGGGCAGCCTTGTGGATTGGGACAACTTCCTTCATGATCCTGGCTCTTCCTGTTGTCTTTGAGACTGAGAAGTTGCAAATGGAGCAACAGCAGCAACTGCAGCAGCGGCAGATACTCCTAGGACCTAGGGCCTAACATAGGGCTGTCAGGAGGAATGCCAGGGGCTCTACCTTCACTTCCTGGAAAGATCTAGATTGTTACTGCTCTATCTGACCTGTCTTGGTGGGAAAAGTTTGAAAATTCAATACTGTTTGAACTGATTTTTTTCTCTTATTCTTTTTGGCACAAAAAATAAACCTGGTTGGGAAAATGTCCCGTTCGTTGTCTCATGGAGACTCCCAACTTGCAGCTGTGCCCTCCAAGCTTTCCTGGCTGGCTTCTCTCCTCACTCTGACACCAGAGTGCATCGATGCAGATGGTCACTCCAACTCCGGCCATCCCGCCTCTCACTAAATTACTCCTGACCAGAAGGTCTCCTCAGTGTCTGCTTGTGGAGTAGGAACTGATGCCAGTGGGGAGGATGTACCCCTGACCATTAACGACTGTTTTGTTTTGACATGCACACTATATGAAATACAAAATGCATTACATCTGTAGTGTAAAAGCACCCACTGTGAATTTCTATGTATGTTGGAAAAGAGGGAGGGCCAGCAGCAGTTTTAACCACAGGATGGGTACTGTGGAGGGCAGAGCAGGAGCTCACTTCCTCTGCACATTTTGGCCATTAGACCTGTGTGTGCGTGTCTAAAAGAGGGGGAAAAAAAGGCAGTGCTCACTTTTGTAATTAAATATTTAAAATGATTTTAAAAAATGCATGTTGATGTTAGCTCAGGTGAAAAGCAAGTTTACTCAGACTAAGAAATTCACACTAGACATTTTTGTAAGGAGTTGTTGTTTGTAGTATATTTTAAAGGAAAAGTGGATATTTTAGGACTAGGTGATTTAACTTCAGCTGTTCTATTTAAAAAATGTGAAACAATATACTGAATGAGCAATATGGACTTTAATACATCTAAAACTTAGTTTTTTTTTTTTTTTTTAATTAAATCTTTATTGTTCGTACATAATTGAATTTAGGCAGACAGATTTATGTATGGAGTTTTCCACTTTTAATATTTGGTTAAACAAAATACATCTTCTGTAAACAAAAAACGCACAAGGCCAACAAAAACAGGGGTAGGGGAAGATAAAAGCAACAAAAATCTCCCATTTCCCTTTCCCCCCCAAGAATAGTCAGTCCATTTCCTTTCTATGTCCCTGATTCTATTATAATCACCAGTTCTTCATTCTGTTCAGATTATTTATTCACTTGATTCTTAGATTCACTTGTTGATAGATGCATGTTTGTTGTTCACAATTTGTATCTTTACCTCCTTCTTCTTCCTCCTCTTAAAGGATACCTTTCAGCATTTCGTATAATACTGGTTTAGTGGTGATGAACTCCTTTAGCTTTTCCTTATCTGTGAAGCTCTTTATCTGACCTTCAATTCTGAATGATAGCTTTGCTGGATAAAGTAATCTTGGTTGTAGGTTCTTGCTATTCATCACTTTGAATATTTCTTGCCACTCCCTTCTGGCCTGCAAAGTTTCTGTTGAGAAATCAGCTGACAGTCGTATGGGTACTCCCTTATAGGTAACTGACTAGCTTTGCTGGATAAAGTAATCTTGGTTGTAGGTTCTTGGTATTCATCACTTTGAATATTTCTTGCCATTCCCTTCTGGCCTGCAAAGTTTCTGTTGAGAAATCAGCTGACAGTCGTATGGGTATTCCCTTGTAGGTAATTGAGTCTCTTTCTCTTGCTGCTTTTAAGATTCTCTCTTTGTCTTTTGCTCTTGGCATTTTAATTATGATGTGTCTTGGTGTGGTCCTCTTTGGATTCCTTTTGTTTGGGGTTCTCTGCGCTTCTTGGACCTGTAAGTCCATTTCTTTCACCAGGTGGGGGAAGTTTTCTGCCATTATTTCTTCAAATAGGTTTTCAATATCTTGCTGTCTCTCATCTTCTGGCACCCCAATTATTCTGATGTTTGTACGCTTGAAGCTGTCCCAGAGGCTCCTTACACTATCTTCGTATTTTCGGATTCTTTTTTCATTTTGCTTTTCCGGTTGGGTGTTTTTTGCTTCTTCGCATTTCAAATCTTTGGCTTGATTCTTGCGCTCCTCTGGTCTGCTATTGGGTGTCTGTATAATATTCTTTATTTCAGTCCGTGTATGCTTAATTTCTAGTTGGTTCTTTATCATAGCATCGAGGGTCTCATTAGTTTTCGTGACTCTCTCCTCAAGTTTATTGACAGCTTCTAGCACATTTTTGCAAGCCCTCAAAATTGCGATTTTTAGCTCTATATCCTCCATTTCTGTCATGTTTTTTTGTCTCCGCATTTTTTATGCTTTCTTGGTGCACCCCCTAGTGGTCTTTGTGCGCAGTCTTGTTCTAGTTGAGCCTTGATTGTTGTAGTTAATACTAGAGGGATTTGACCACCAGGCCGACTGGCTGTGTGAATCAGCTGTGTCTGCCGCGGAAAACTTCTGTCCTCTGGGGAGGTGCTAATCTAGCCTTTGCCTGAGGCTATCCGGCAAATGGCTCTGCGCAGGGCTTGGGCGGGGCGGGCTCAACAGGGCGGGCGGAGGGAGCCGTTATGGTGCCCTCAGTCCTGTTCCCAGAGGCTCTGCTTCTCAGAACCCCCGGAACCGCTGCAAACCTCGGAGGGAAAGCTGCCTTCCAACTGATGCCAGACACTCCCGCTTCTCCCGTTTGGGTCCGAGTCCCCAGCGATTCGCCCGTATCTGGAGCTCAGAGTCTGAGACTCCCCCCTGACCGAAAACGACAACCGCGCTCTCAGCCACCAGCCCGCTTTGCGCGCGCACCTCCGCACCTGAGTTTTTTCCACACTGCGCCTCCTCTGAGCCTCGGTGTGCTGTTATTTTTCCTTCTAGTTGAAGAGTCTCTCCTCAGCCAGCCTTCCTGTGGTTCTGGGTGATGTCCGTTCCGTCTTTTAGTTGTATTTTTGAAGTGGTTGTTTGCGGCAGCAGTCTCCGGTGTTTACCTATGCCGCCATCTTGGTCTCTCCCCGGGAATCTATTTTGAAGGACATAAATACCTCAACTTTCCTGTTGGGGTCCAGCTCCAGCAGGTCCAGGGGTTCCCAAAGTTGTGGACGGAGTTGGCGAAGAAGGAAGGACACGGAGGCAGCAGCATTCAGATGATCAGCATAGCCAGGTTCTCTAGTCAGGTTCTCCAGCCAGGTTCTGTAGCCACGTTCTGTTCTAAAACTTAGTTATAGTAAAATTTTTATTTTAATCAGTGAGTTGAGGGAATGAGGAATTATGGTTTATAGTACCTGATTAATCCCCAAAATTTACTGTGGAAAATATTTCTTACATTAGCAAATAAGAATGCTAAAATCAACAATATTTCCTTGAAGACTAAATATTCTGTAGTGGGCTCTTGGATTATTCCTGTGTTTAGTGGAATATCATTCTACAGACTCATAGCATATACAGAGATTGGACTGTATATGTCCTGACTCTCAGATATTCTTTAAAATGTAAAACAAAATTTTTCTTTAACATTTTTGCTAAGTAAAATGTGATATAAATGTTTTTTTATAATGAAAGTTTTCAATTAGTTGGATAGGAATGTGACTTTAATATATCTTGTTCTGTTTGTATTTAAGACAATATCAAGTAATAGACAATTTAAAATTTTAACTTAAGAGGGACATCCTTAAATTTGACTATTAAATTTGTGAATGATGCTATATAATTTTTTCTAAAGTAAAGAAAAAAAATAGTCAAATTCAAAAAAGAAAACAACTACTCCAGAGATGGAAAACGGGCAGTCACAGGCCAGATCCAGCTCTCAGATGCTGTGAGACTTTGTGTTTATTTAGTTTTCTTTTGAGTTGCCCATATGGGATTTGTTTTTTTTTTTTGTTAGTCCTCACTGAGGATATTTTTTCCATTGATTTTTAGAGAGTGGAAGGGAAGGGGAAGGAGAGAGAGAGAGAGAGAGAGAGAGAGAGAGAAGAGAGAGAGAGAGAGAGAGAGAGATGAGAGAGACACATAGATTGGTTGGTTGCCTGCAAGTGCCTCAGGGCTAGAGATCACACCTGCAACCCAGGTACCTGCCCTTGACTAGGGATTGAAATCATGAGCCTTTAGTGTGCAGGCAACTACTAGCCCACACCAGCCAGGGCTGCCCATATCGGTTTTTAAAACAATTAGAATTAGCCCTGGCTGGTTGCAGGTTCTATTTCCGGTCAGGGTACCCATACCAAGGTTTTGGGTTCAATTCCCGGTTGGGGTGCATACAGGAGGCAATTGAAGGATGTTTCTCTCTTACATCTATGTTTCTCTCTCCCTTTCTCAAAAATAAATAAATAAATAGATAGATAAATAAATAAATAAAAATATATCCTCAAATAAGGACTATATATAATTAGATGGCAGCATTTAAAACCTGAGAGATTTAGCATATATTTATGGCTTCTCAAAAAATTAGATCTGGCCATACTGGTTCTATAGTCCCACCTTACAACAATTAGCTGGCACTGAACTATTTCATTTGTCACAGTCCCCAGCACTTTATTTGGAGTTATAGCCTCCATGCTTTTTATAATCATTTGAGTTTAGAACCCTTACAACAGACAAACCTTACTCACAAATATAGGCACAAAAATACTAATTCAACAATACATTAAAATACTAATATGACATCTAAAGGTGAGGTTTAATACAAAAATGGAAGGATTGTTGTGCATTAGGAAATCTATTAATATAATACATGTTATCTATATTATTCATACAGTATCCAGAAAGTCTTTAATGTGGCTCAAAAGAATACATAAAATACAGCTGATGATATACAAAGAGTGAGTAGTAAAAAGAGTAAAACCAGAAATATGAAATGGAACTAACATGATTATCTTAATAGGTACTAAAAAGGTATTTGATTTAAAAAATCCGCTTCTGATTTTAAACAAAAACCTCTTGGAAAAAAAGTTATTTTTTTTTTTATTGTTGACAGTATTACAGATGTCTCCTATTGTCTCCCATTTTGCCCTCCTCCACCCAACCCTTGTCCCACCTCAGGTCTTCCACATGCTATTGTCTATCTCTGTTAGTTATGCATACATGCATATAGGTATGTTCTTTGGTTAATCTCCCACCTCTCCTATTGCCCCCACCCCGAAACCCACCCCCAGAGGTCTGTTATTCTGTTCCAAGCATCCAAACTTCTGGCCCTATTTTGTTCATCAGTTTATTTTGTACTTTAGATTACACATATAAGTGAGATTATATATTTGCCTTTCTTTAACTGGCTTACTTTGCTTAGCATAATACACTTGAGATCCATGCATACTG